ACATTAAAAGAATAACAATTTAACGACGATAAAAATGTACCGACATACTATGCGAAACTTGGCATTTCTTTTTGACTTATTCGTAAAATAACTATTAAGTAATACTAACAATATAATAAAATTATAAACACTGTGGAGGGACACGAACGTGTTAATAGAGCGTCACGTAAAATCGCACAGTTTTTCGCAACTCTCTTGATAACAGAGGGATATTGAGGTAAATAGCGGCTCTGCATCTAGAAGCAAATTGCAGGGAAAAGTGCTCTTCTCCCTTTATCAAGATCGTTACGGCGGTTCTCACGAGACGCATTGTATTATGCATATACATTTAGACCACGTCTGTAAACTCTACTTTTTTCCGATAGCGCGTCCGTAGAGGACCAACTTAAACTCGCTGCTTCACCAAAACGAGAAATAACTATACTGCAATATGTATACGTAATAAAAGCAGATGTTAATGATAACGTGCCCTACTCTATATATCTCTTTTATTAGGTCTCATAAATACATGCATAATATCTGTGTATTTTAAGGAATTTTCTGCACTGCGGGAAAATTCAAAATTAACACGCGACAAGACAATTGCACGGTAATGCACTCAGTTACCGTAATATCAGTTTTTAATTTGCTACATGTGTACATAATCGAAAAACAGTGTAGATAGGAATTGAATTCCTGGCAAAGCGCGAAATCTCTTCATTAGGGTATTATTTTCTGATGAAAAAACAATTAGAATTTAACGGTGCTATAATTAATCGGTCCCGTCACTCCCGTGAAAACCCGTCATAAAGTCCGAAAGCGAAGGTCTTTTGTCTCGTCGAAAATTGTTCGATCGATTTCATTGTTCTTCCCACTGTGCCCACCGAAACGACAGCCGTCCGGGCGGTGAAGCGGCCAACCGCGAAGTGAATAGCGATATCCGTAGGTGGGCCAGGCTTAACATCGCCGACGCAATACCGCCCCTGCCTCTGCAGGAAACTACATTGAAACGGGTCTGACAAACTTGCTCGCCTATTTACCGGTAGACGCGTCGCAAACACATAACTCGGCGAGCTGTTTCCGACTGCGATTTTCGTGCGAGCGCGCGTATGCGCGTGGCGGCCCCGCGCGATCGCACCGCATCCGATCGAGTTCCCCGTTCGAAGCGGAGAAGAAGAGTTCCCGGCGCACATCCACCCCTCCAGCCGGCGACGACGTCCGTCCACGTGAACTTCCGCGATCGCGCCCGGAGTTGCCCCGTTTCTTGTTGAGCGGCGAGATTTTCGGATACGAACCACGGCATCGCGCGCAACACGCGCGCAGCCTTGAACGACGTTCCCTCCAACACAGAGGGAAAAGTTAGCGGACGTGGACGGGGCAGAAAAAGCCCTTGTCACAATGGAGGACGTGTCCCGTTGTTGCGGTGAGTTGCGCCGGCAACTTTCGAGTTAATCAACCTGGCGTTAGCAGCTTTTCCCTTATCGTCTTACGTTTCTATAGGAAGGAAATTGGGATGGTTACCACTCGGGAGATTACAGTCTTGACGTGTTTCGGCCAAAGAGGAGAGCAGGTTCTTCGCGGAAGATTTTTTTTTTCGGTGAAATATCGTGTTACACGTCACGAGTTTCGCAAAACTTGGATCGGCGAGGTATTACACGAGATATTGTACGAGTCGAATTTTTGCAGAATTGTTCGACGAGTAAAAGAATCTCGCAGGTCGCGAAAATCTTCGGGCCAGATAGTTTTTAAGCGGATGTGACGGAAGTGTCGGCGAAGTTAAAGCTAATGGATCGGGTCTTTCATTCCCTCGTCTATCTCGCTGGTTAAAATATTACGATATCGACATGTGGAGATATAATGTAGGCTCTGTTCAATAGACACTTTAACTTGAATGTTCTTCACGATAATTTAAAGCTCCGCGTCTCTGTCGGTGTCAGCCGACACTCGGGCCGTGTTTCGATTTTTTTGCGCTTTCGCTCTCGGGTTCTGCACACGATGTTTCGCTTAACAAAGGGCGGTCGGAAAAGTGTTTTTCGCCGGTAGCGGTTCCCATCGATCCCTCGAATCCGTAATTAGGTCAAGAGAATGGAAATGTCTACGAATCGGATCGACCATTATCGAAATCCGTTGCTCGTAAATTTCCCGCGATACCATCGGCAACTGCTGCTGATGCCAGGGCCCAACGACTGTCGATTAGCGGATTAGTATTATCGGCCTCCGTCGTGCCATCATTGGCGTAGCGGAACTCAAAGGGAGCCATAAAGCTTTTCGCGTTTACGGTCGAAGATATTGCGCCGGAGACCACAATGACCGCTCGGATTGCATCATCGTATCATCGTAATCGTTTAACGATCTTAATTTTACGTCGAAGGGGGGTGAGGGTGGGTCTATAATATTCTGCTTGGATACGAAAGTAATTGTCTCTTTCTCTACCGTCGCTACGAGCTAGCTGATAATAGCCGCGATCGTCGTTAATCTTTTAAGCCATCCTCGGCTCCGAATTTTATATTTTAATCTTACTGTCGAAGCGCGAATTTCGAATTGCAGCCTCTTAGGCATCTCCGAAGTCAAAGTGAGCATTAAACCGTCGAAAGACAGTAGCAGTTATTTCCTCTAATGGCGTCAAAGTTGATCGAAACCCTTCTAGCTGTGTCGTAAGATTAAAGCCCTGAAACGCTGCTTTTCCGCTCCATTAGTGTTTGGGAGCCTTACAAAGCTTGAAGGTTCTAAGAGTGTAATTAATAAAGAACTTTTTGTTCTTTACGCCGACAGGCGGGCAAACAACAATTATATACATTCTCCTTTCTCTCGATTAATTTATGCTTTAAGTAACTTTTCGTGTCGCATTGTGATTACGAGAGTTCACATAAATTTTCATTCGCAGTAATTTAATATATTTCCTTTGTACATGTGCACTTGTTTGCTTTTAATTTCCAACGTGCTCCTTTTCTCGTATTTCTACAATATGCAAATGCTCAATTTCAAAATATTATCTAAATGTGAAATTAAAGGGAGCAAATACACGCAATCGATTACTTAGCAGATACCAGGTGACAATTATTGACATTTGCGTTCTAACAAATACGAGAACGGGTGCACGTAGCAAGTGGAAAAGATTAATGCTAATCGTAAAATAGAATGGCGGAAACGTGCCTTCCCGCGACTTTTCTGTATTGCTCTTTGATATATCTCGTTCGCCATGAATAAAGTTTATAGTTCCGACAATACGACAAAAAGTACATTTAATACCACAGCCTAGTCTAGTCCAGTGAAGAGACGCAATTTTGTCAGATAGTAGGCTGCCAGCAAAAATACGACATGCATTTCTTTCTCCTCTGAATGCCACGACACAAAGGGTACCCTCGTAGTGTTACGTGTGATGCCAGAGTCCCGGCACGGGGATATGCCGTCGGTTGGAATGATAGACGTGAAACCGCGATAAAGATCGCCGGGGAAGTAGGCAGGATTGTATTTCGCTCGAGAGGAAAAGCCCGGCCTCTCGCAAAGCGAGGAGATTAAAAAAGTGCTCGCGAGGCTAAGTACGAAGCGAAGAGACGCGTTCCCCGAGTGAAAATCCTGGGCTTCTTATAGACGCGAACGAGAATTTACGACCGTTTATGAAGCGCGATAAGTTATACGCGAAGATTGGAAAATATACGAACGAGCGCGTTAGATTTTGCGAAACATTCCAGTCCTGGTTTATGAGCCCGCGCTAACGAAACACGGCGAATATGTTCCGCGTCGTGTCGATAAATATTTCGTAACGATGCAGACTTGGACCGCGCAGTTGTCGAGAACGATGGTGTGCAACAGCACAGCGTGTAGAACGAATCAACGGCGACTTCGTGATTGTCCGAAGGGGCGCGTGAGAATACACGCGATAATAAAAATTAATGGCTCCCACGGTCAGCTTGTCTACATTTTTTTGCCGTTCGCAACCATTCTACGTGCCGCTCGTTACATAATTCTACGTTACCGCACTGCTGCAGCCGACGACTATAGTGCTGCCTTACAACGAAAGGCTATCCAACTCTGAATCGAAAATGGGTGGCCTTATATTATAGTCTGCTCGCATAACTTTAGACTTTATCCCCAAAGTCAGGCAAAATATGACTTTGGGAATAAAGTCCAAAGTTCCGCGACACACGAGGTCACTTCATAAATCTTACGTGCATGTTTGAGAAATTCGAAAGATGGTAAATGGAAACACAATTTAGTTTTTTTAATCGATAATGTGCGCCCTCTTTCATTTTCCGCAATACGCTACGCGCAATCGATTACAGACGACTTTTTGACCTATCTAGCAAAAATAAAGACAGTGAGAAAATAATAATATCGTTATATAATAGACTTAGATAAATTTATAGATTGTTCTAAAAAAAATAGATGCTACCGTCACGATTAAAAATTTGGAGACATCTCGAAAAGATTAACCAAATAAACCGGAAGTCTGTGACGACTTCATTAAATTAGCATTTAGAAGTTTTATTATAATTGCAATGTTAAAATCGATCAGTAGAACGGAATTTGTAATTCATAGTCGGTATTAAGTCTGCTGGATCTTATCCGGGTTTAAATAATCTTCGTTTAGAATTTTAAATTGATAACATCGAGATATCGCAACATTTTAGGATTTCAGAATTACAAAATTCACTCTCCATTGTTATCGATACTATTTTATTAGTCTCAAGAAAACATTGCAAGTCTTGTCCTCGTAATTTTGCATTTATTGAATTTGTTGTTAATAATAGCGTTTTTGGGAAAATTTTAATTTTAACGAAGTCACAAATATTAATAATTGTTATAAAATATTAATGCTGTTGTAAACACTTAAAAATGCACCGCTGAAAAAGTCCGAGAAGATGCCCATGTAAGAAATTAAAGTTTCTCACAATGCTTTTCATGCCGTCTGACCGCGTGTATATGTGCGCGCCGACGTTCGTACTAAGCGATACGTGATTCATTTGTGTCGCGAAACTACCGACTGGCAAGGGCTAGAAAGGATTGGTGATCGAACTCACCGGACTGTCCTCTGTGCGCGGGTATGGCCGGGGCGGGCGGCAATCCGGCGATGCTGCAAAGCGTCTGTCCACTACCGTACTTGATACTTCTGCAGTGACACGGCGTAGTGGGCGTCGTCAGTCCCTCGTTGTCCCTGACGGTAGCCCCGATCACTGAGATCTCGTCGAGCTCATGCCCGCTGTCGTAATGGCACAATCTCGTCGCGCTGGTGCTGGCCCCGCCACCCCCGACGCCGCTATCCTCCCCGGCACCGGCGTCGGAACGACCGCCGCCGGTGCCTCTACCCCCGGTCCGGCCCCTAAGCGACTGCACCAGTCGCTTGGCGCCCGAAGACATTCCACGGAGGTGATCCAGCCTTCCGGTCTTCGTTTCCTCTTGTCCTGTCCAAAACCGCCCGAGTACACGCCCGGGGATGTCCACCTAAAATTTTCACGCTTTTAGCCGCCGTGGCACGCCCGGCTGGTGTTAAATTGCTGCATAAGTTTCGTCCACTAGCGAGATTAAAATTCCAAACATTCAGTTCTCGCAATTATCTTGGGTATATATTTAAGATCGTATTGTGTCACATCAGCACGATAATTATTTATGACAAGTTTGCGTCTTCATCCCTTTTACAGTTTTTCTTCGAGGTTCATGCCTATAACACGCGCTATTGAACGATTTCTTCTGATCATACGAGGCTATACTACTTGTCGCGCTATAGATGATACAAATTATGCTTTCGAGAAACAAATTACCCATAAAATTAAAATTCTCTATTTAGAAACGCGAACACTCACAGCATCTTTAAATTTCGTGCAAATAATTTTTCCTGTATCTATTGTATTGTAGCTAAATTAAGATTCGTAAAATGTGTTACGTTTTATATCGCATTATTAGCGATTTAATTTTGTTAACACGATCTCTTCTAAACGTTTATGCAGCAATCTAATACAAAATAATTTATTACATTATAATATTTACAATAACCGATCGATAAATAATCTGAATCGCAGTTTCGACTACTGGACGATTCCGTCTGACCATACGAGGCTATACTACTCGTCGCGCTATAGGTAATACAAATGATGCCTTCGAGAAACAAATCACCCATAAATTAAAATTCCAATTTTGGAAACACGAATACTCACAGCATATTTGAGTACCGTACAAATAATTTTTACTGTATCTATTGTATATAAACTAAATTAAGATTCGTAAAATGTGTTACGTTTTATATTGCATTATTAGCGATTTTAATTTTGTTAACACGATCTCTTCCAAACGTTTATGCAGCAATCTAATACAAAGTAATTTACTACATTATAATATTTATAATAGCCGATCGATAAATAATCTGAATCGCAGTTTCGACTACTGGACGATTCCGTCTGACCATACGAGGCTATACTACTTGTCGCGCTATAGGTAATATAAATGATGCCTCTGAGTAACGAATCACCCATAAAATTGAAATTCACCAGTTTGCCTGAAGCTACGTAATAGTTTGGCATGTGCAGAATAAAAATTTGGCCACTTTTAGCTCCGGACATTTATGATAAATGATCAGTCGGCCGCATACATCTACTTTAGTCTCTACCTTTACGCCTTATCGATTTTGACTATGAAAAAGCAAAGTGCTAGAAGTATGTGATAAGTTTTGATAATACATGATAGATTGCCTTCCATCTTGGCGCGTGAACAATAAGAGAGGAAAAAAATCACCCGTTTATAAGATATTTCGCGTGTCGACAAGAATTGCGAACGTTGTAATCTAGGCAGAGAATTGAACGAAATACTTGAATACATCAACAGACAGTTAATTTGATGGTAAACGACACTTGTATACGGGAGCGAGTGCACAATGACGATCTTCGGGGGGATAATCGGGATTAGAATCATGAAAGGTCTTGGGGAGCCTGGCTCGCACAATAAGAAGTTGCACAATAAGCCTGGTAGGTCCTGGTAGGGATAAGAGAGAAGGGCGAGGGCGAGACGGCACTCTCTCGAATTGGACGCGGTGGAATGTACTTACCACGTGGTGATAGCCGCCCCGCAGTGGTAGCTCTGCTCTCTCAGCTGACTACGAGTATCGCCAACGGTAACGCCGCGCACGATCGCGACCGGTGTCACCGAGCGTAGCACATGATCGCTCTCTCTTGATCCCCGGCACGATACCGATCCGGCGCGCGGGCCACGCGTCCACGACACTCCGCTTCCGCGCTACCGATTGTTATTCGAGCCGCCCGAGCGTTCGTACGCACCGACGTGAAGAGCTGCGACGATGGCCGAGCACCGAGGGGGGTCGTACGACGTACGGCGGCATGCCAGGCGACGCCCGTCGAGCACGTCGCTTCCGGCAGCGATCGCGCGACACGCTAACGATCGCCGTGCGTCGCGATCGTGCACTTTTTGCGAACGGTGATCGATAGGCGCACGAGGCACGCGTCGCTCGCCACGCGATCGTCCGCGGCCGTCCCGTCGAGCGACATGCCGCGACCACGCTCGGCCCGATGGCGCGTTCACCAGCGAGAGCCACTCGTCGGCGCACCCTTACGCACTCCCGCCGACGCCGAGGACGAACGGGGTCCGTGTACCTCGCGACCGGTGGATGCCCTGTGGCCCGATATCGACGCCGACAGACCCTCTTTAAGGGACGGTCGACGTGCAACAAGTGTCTCGAGCGACGACACTCGTCTCACGTGTCGCTGCTGCGCTCTCGCCTACTCCACGTTCAACCGCTCTCGCTGATACACTCGATACTCCGCGTTCGATCCGTCGACGGCCGGGAGACTCGTCTTCGAAGTACGTGGATACAGCGCGACGGTATCTGGGGAGAACAGAGAAAACGAAGGTATTATTTAGCGAACGATGGCTGCCGGTTTTTAAATACGTTGAAATGTCGGTAAAACGTCGGTGCGCATTGTTTTGATGGACACATCGGTGGGCGCGAGCGAATCGTTATTCTCGAGGAGGTAATCGATAAAATTTCCATGAACCCTCTGTGTGAGGAGCGGAGGACTTCTCTTTAAGGACCAAGCGCTCGGCGTTGATGGAGAAGTAACGAGCTGGAGATTAGGACGTGGCCCACTCGAAATTGCTAATATCGATTATGCTGAACCTCAAGTTGCGCGGAGCGGTTCATACGTTCGTTACACTCAGATTAATCTCAGGGGAATTGGAGCAGCAAATAGGTCGTAACGATCTAACATATCTCGAATGAGCATTCAAGTTGTCCTCGGGCCAGATCGAAGACTCCTGTACGCGCGAAATTATATTCATTACACGATGTGCAATTCAAAATAACGTAGCGCCGTGTCAGTAATTAATTGAAACGAAAGCGTTAACGAAAGAACAAAACTGACGGGTGTTTCGCGAAGGCGAGGCCGTTAAACAGAAAAATGGCACGTTAGATTTGTATTCTTCGACTGCTAGGAAATGTTCCTCGCGCAATGTTCTACGTGACGACTGCAAGGTCGAAATTTTTAACTTAGTTTTTAACTAGCGCATTGATACGTGTGTGCATACTGTCGGGTGACGAGATGATGGATGCGTCGTCGCATTAGCCGTGTGCACATTTTGCAACCGTTGCACAGCGACACGGAGATATAGGTATGGACAGGAGGACGGCGGCTGGTAAAAGCGTAAAGGGCATTGTACTTATAACGAGAATGGTAGCGAGCAGATCCTGAATACGAATATAGGGACACCGAGCTGTCGCCAGCCTGACGTATTATTTTCCTCTCCCCTTATTCTCGCTCACGCAAGAAAGTGTGCTCGATCGTTTGACGTCGCGACGCGAAAAAATGCCCCTACGATATTTCATGCTGCAACACGAAGACGATCTGCTCTCGCGGAAATGATTTCCGCGCCATCCCCCTTTTCCTCATTTATCACAGGTATTGTCAGGATGACGTCGCTCGAATTGCGAAGATTAATAAAGCGGTTTTACCCGAAAACTGCATAAACTTCAAAGTGGTAATAACGCGAATTGTTGCATACTTTTTTTTACCCCGTTCGCTATAAATTGCAAGAGATTCACTGCGAGCAGTGAAATATCTTGCTTCCCAATGGATCGACTTGATTTATCCGCCGCACTATTTTGCGCTCCTGCGGATCGATCGATAAATAATTAGCCAGCGGGGAACGTCGCGATGCTCGACCTTCGAGCAGCGCGTTAAATTGATTCCGCATAACAAAGAACAATGGCTGTCGCATACGGGATGAATATTAGGAGCCCTTGCACAGCATCCGGATAAATTATGTAGGCAACGAGAGTCTCGTTTTATTGCCGGCGGGGTCGTCGTGCCGCTGCAATCCAGGCGTAAACTCGACGGCTCTCTCATATGGAAATCGTAACTTGAAAGTATAATATGGAAAAAAATATCGCGGTGGGGTCTACGTTACCAGAGCACGTTTGTTTTACCTTATAAAAATTCCGGTGAGAATCGAAGTGTATTTATCTCCCGTGGAAGTATCGGGTCTGGGAAGCGCGTTAAAAGTTCACGGGGTTACGGGCGTGCGCCAATAAATCATCCGTTGAGACCTTTCCCTTAAAGATTCAAGCGAGGATCGCGCAAAGCCCCGAGCCGATCGCTAAATATTGCGTTACGGCCCAAGTTTCGCGCCGGCCAATTTTACATTTCGCCGGATCGTAGCAACGAACGTGCCACCTAATCGCGATATCGGAAACGGAAAGGGACGCTTCCGTCCGCCGAGGTAAATAGAATTTGCTGATGGAAATTAATGCGACGCAATTTGATATAAACTAACGAAAATAAGTATAAATTAATGTCGCGGGCACCGTCCGGAATAAATAAGCGTGCACGCCCGGCGACACTCTACGGAGCAATCTGTAGCGCTTTAGTTTTAAACTCCAATATCTTAGTTCATGACTCCGCGTTGGTGCTTAATCAGAGCGGTGTGTCGCTGCAACGTATCGCTACGAATTGCCTTCGTGTTCATAGTTTCATAACGACGCTTAGGAGATTCATCTGTCATGGGAGCGACAATGCTGCGCAATTTATATGGCGTCCATTACGGTACAAATTTACGGGAGATGCTCCAAACGAGACACCCTGAGAAGAGGCGCGCGGCGGCTCATTAAATTGAATATATTTTTATTAAACTACTGTTCGCCAATTCGTGAATGAATTTTTTTAATTGCATTAGTGGCCCAAGCATAACGGAATGGCATTTTGCACCAACCTGCATCTCCGCAGCCATTTGTAATCGATATTTTTATCTACAACAAAAGATGACGCGTAATATAATTAACCTGTGATACTCTTTGTTTTTATTTGTTGCTTAATTCATCGGTGGACACAATACGGGTGGTGCCCAGTCAAAATCTGTTC